ATTGAATTATAATTTTGACCGATAATTCAATTATAATTATCTCATAATCAGATGATCTAAAATCAATATTTATTAGCTTATTAGATTTATCTAGTTTCAAAGATTCGAATGGTTTTTTTAATGATATAATACTGTCATAAGTTTATTAAAATTTTATATATATATTACAAAATTTAAAAATAAAGTAAAAATAAAAAAACTAAACTATAACTATCTCATGTGATTCTATTACTAAAAATTAGCTCAAACACTTTTAGATTGATTAATTACTAGAATTCCCTTCTAATAAAACCAAAAAATCCATATTTGATGATCAAGTTATTACTAAGAAATTCAAATGAGATGATCAGTACTTATTCACGAAATCTAACCAAGAGTTATCAAACTTTAAGACCAGGTTAACTAAGATATCTAAGTTGAAGAACGCTGATCTAATTTATTAGATAGGAATCTGTTGATAAATACATTAGTTTGATAGTGAGGCTTATGCTTTTTCTTTTCTTTTTTTTTAATTTCTTAAGCCTAGTAGTAATACTAAGAGATCTTTTTTTATCAATCATTTTATTACATCGGAAATCCATAAATTATCATAAAAGAGATGGATAAGATAATTTATAGTTAAACATAAGATTGAAAAGGTATTCATTGGTGAAAATAAAGATTGTAATAAGTGAAAAAGCTCAGCAAAAATTAATCCTTTTAAGGATTTGAATGATAATTATTTTATAAGATATGAAGCAGTATTAACAGAAATCGTATACTATTTATTTTTAGATATTTTAGATACTATTTATATAATAAAATTAATATACAAGATATGGGAACGTTTCCAGTAAAATCAAGACATGAAGCATAGTAAATCATATGATCTGTAATGTAATTTTACAGGAAACGCTCCTATATGATTTACTATGATTATATAAAAGAATATAATTGATGTGATTATATAGGAGGTAATTTTCTTATATTTATTATAAGGTTGGACTAAAATTGATGTAATTATAAAAGGTGTATTTTTTTATTTAAAAATTGAGGCAGAATTATAATAATGTAACTAAAGAAGTAGTGTAATTATATAGGAGATGACTATAGAAAGAGTTAACTATATACAAATAGGATAATAATCTAAAGCATTAAATTAAACTTATAATTGCTTTTCTTTATGAATATTATTCATGTGTTTTTAATTGGTTTTTTTTCTTTTCAGATCTAAATCTAATTGAAAATTTATGGATAATAATAAAAAAAAATGTAGAAAATAAGGTCAATATTATGGTTAATAAAAAAATAGTTATGCAAAAGGAATTTGTGTATTAATTTTATAAGATTGATGCCAAGATATTTAGAGTCAGTGATAAAGAATCAAGAACATACAATAGGCTTTTGAAATTTTAATATGTTTTAATGTATATTTGGGAAATTTAATTTTGAAATTTTGAAATTTTTTAATAAAATCTAAGTAAGATATTCGCTAATTTCTGATTATCAGTTTTTTTTGTTAGAATTTTAAATATATTATTGAAAAACAATCTCAAGTAAACTCATAAAATATTAAAGATTATTATTCAATTAAAAATAATTAACACTTAAATATCTTGTCTAATAGTTGTAATTATATATTAACAATATACAATTTTTAAGTAAATATAAGAATTATTAAGTTAGTTTTAAAGGTTTAAAGATAAATAATTTACTATATCTTATCATTTGTTTTCATTTTTTTGTTTTTTCTTAATTCCTTATTTTTGATATTTTTTTTTTTTTATAATAAACTTAATTTTTGAAATATAATTATTTTTTGAAATAATATATTATCATTTAATTGAATATTTAAATAAATGTCTTTTAAAATATTAGTATTAAATAAAGTTTATAAATACTAATTAATTTTATTTAAATACCTTATCTAATATTTATAGTTCATAAGAATTACATATTGATATTACAAAACATTATATTTATTTATATTTTTCTTGAATATTAATTTTCTTAAAATTCAAATTGAATAAAACTTTTATATTATATTTCTAATAAATCAAAATAAAAGCTAATTTAAATTATCAACTGATGAGAAATTTAATTATAAAATTTATAAAATTTATTTAAGTTTTCATATACAATCATCTTTATTAATATATTAATATTTTATAAATATAATTTTATTAATAACATATATTAAAATTTGAATTAATTTGAATTACTGGTTTTTAAAAAATTAAAAATAAAAAAGTATTAAAATAATATCTTTATAATATCTTTTATTTTAATATTTTTAGCAATTTAATTTGAATTATTAGATTTTTATAATATATATATATTACTAAAATTCTTATTAAAAGTTTATAACTTATTGTAAAATAATATATTTTTTATATTATTTGTAAATCTTTTATAAAATATTTTAAATTATATATATAACTTACTTAAATATTTAAAAAATTTATAAAGTTAAAATTAAAACTTTAAAATAAGTTTGTTATTAAAAATTATTAAAAATAATATTTTTATAATATATATAATGCTATTTATATTTATTAGTAACTTTTCATAATAATTGAAGATTAAATTATTTAATTTTTTTTGATAAAAATAATTTTTTAAAAAATTTATAAGTATATAAATTACTAATTAGGATTTCTCAAAATTAAATAGAATTAAATATTAAAGTAATTTGAATTAAATTAAATTGGTTAAATTGAATTAAATCAAATTAATTTAAATATTTGATCAAATAATTGATAAAATATTTTTTAATTTATATAATTAATATTAAAATAGAGTTATATTTAAAGTTTTAATTAAAAAGTTTATTAGTAAAATATATTAAAAAATTTTTAAAAATAACTTTTACTTAGATAGTTTAGTAATAAATTCTGAAGGTGATTTTTTATTATAAAACCTTAGTAAAACTCTGTAGCTTCAAAAGTAATTTTTTTACTAAGAAAACTAAATTATTTCTGTAACTTTAAATATATTTTTATTAAGAAAAATATAATAAATAATACCTTTATAATTTCAGAGATATTTTTACTAGTTTTTCTTAATAAAAATCGTTATTGAAGTTACAAATGCAATTTTCTTAATAAAAAATTTCTCTATAATTTTGAAGACATTTTTACTAATATTTTCTTATTAAAAACTACTTCTAAAGCTTTGAAGATAGCTTTATTAATTAATTTGAATCAAATCAAATGTTTATATACTTAATTAAAATTTGATTTAAAATTAATTGAATTTGATCAAATAAATCATTATTTGATTTAAGTTTGATCAAATTGAATTAGATATAAAATAATAAATTTAAATATAATAAAGAAATTAATGTTAAACATAAACTTTTTTTCTGTCTTTATATTCTTCATCTAGGATTTGATGTGATATATTATATTATGCCACATATTTTAGTTTATTAGTTATAATTTTGCTATTATTTTATAAAAGAATATAAATAAAAATAGAGACAAGTATTATTAGTTTAAGAAGTTAAGTTTTCTGAGAATCTAAAATTTCTTAAGATTAGAAATTCTATAGAAGATATCAGTTAAAATTATTCATAATATAAAACAAAGTTTTTTATAAAAAAATAAAAGATTTAAATTTGATTTATAAAATGCATATGAATTATTATTGTATAAGAAATGAAATTAAAATTTCTATACTAATAATATTTAATTTCTTATTATTGAATTTAAAGTTTTGTATATTTAAATTATTTTACTAATTTAGAATTTATACTCTTAAGCATTTGTATTTATTATAATTTAGCTAAAATTTATTATATTATTTAAATATATAAAAATAAAATACTATAAATTAGTTTTTATTACTTAATCTAAATAATTAATTTATTATTTTACTTTATTTAAATCTTTTTATAAAACCAAATTTTCATTAATTTAATCAATTCTAATTAAAGATAATATTACAATTGCAAAATCTGCAATTAGTTGTAATATAAGTTATAACCTCTTAAGTTACAATTAATTGCAAATTATATTATAATTTTTGTAATTAATTTTTTAATTAATTATAACTTAAGTTGTAATTTAATAGTTGCATATTTATATTTAATTATTAAAAAATTAAAGATTTTTTTAATTTGATTATCATAAAAAATGATTTCTATCTTTTAAAATAAATAAGTTTAATAGCTTTTATTTAAACATAATGAAACAAATATTGATATAACTTAACTTATATTAATAATAAATACAAAAAAAAAAGTTTAGAAATATTTAAAATATAGGTAAATGAATAATAAATATTATGATGTTATAAATAGATCATATGATTAAATAATAATTATACATAATCAATAAGATATAATCATATAATAGTCATCATTATAATAAAATATCTAAATAAATAAAATTAATTATCATTTTTTTTATAATATTATATTATTTTATTTATATAAAAAAAATTATTTAATATTTAAAATAAAAGTTATAATAATTTATATATTTAATTAATAAATAGAAATTGAAAAGCTAATAGCTTATTTTAGTTTATGATTAATTTAAACATTGGGCCCCAAAGGATTGAAGATTTAGTAAAACAACAAAATTTAATAAAGGATATAAAAGGTAATATAATAAAATGTTTAGAAGATAAATATTAATTATTAATTATTAAATGATCATCATCATAAACGCACCTAAACTAAATAAAATTTCATAAACCTGTATAAATTTTCCTTAAGGATTTGTTATAATCTTTACCTGCATTACGATGAATTATGATCTCATGTGACACAAACGTTTTCTAATTAATGTGTCAAAGATTTAGCATTATATAATTTATTTATTTGAAAAGAGAAAAAAATATTACATACATAAAATGTACTATAAAACTATATTATTAAACATATATAATAAATAACACTAAATAAATAAAAAGTCGATTTTATTTACAAACACCAAAACCAAATCAACTAGATCAACTAAATTCAATTTAAATTAAAATAATATTAAACCTATATTTGCTGAAAAAGGCCATAATTAATGATCTTTTTTATCTTTCTTTTTTTCTTTCTTCTCATCTTTATGCTTATCCTTTTTCTCATCTTTGTGCTTGTCATGTTTCTCATCTTTATGCTTATCTTTTTTCTCATCTTTTTTGTGCTTATCTTTATCCTTATATTTTTTCTCATCCTTTTCATCATTTTTATGCTTATCTTTATTTCCCGTTTCTTCATGTTTATGATCAGAGTGAAGTTTACCACCAAGATAACCCAAAGCCCCTGCACCGACAGCAGAAGCAGCTGCAATACCAGCCGTAGTCTATAAAATGTCGGTAAAAAATTTAATATAATTGACGATCGAAATACATGTAAAACTAATGTTTTTTTTTTAAAAAAAAAAATTTATTAAATAGGTATTTACCATCCAATCCTTATCACCACCTGATTTATGTTCTTTTGGTCCTGGTGAAATATTTTTAGAATCAGACGGATGAGCTCCGTATGATGGTTGCTGATAATACGACTGTGCTTGACCACCATATGATGATGGATCAGGAAACCCACCTCCAGCTGTCGGATAAGCAGGAGGACCAGCTGAATGTGGTAATGTAACAGGTGGAGGAGTTCCACTTCCATAACCTGAAGGGAGTGCACCACCTTCTGGTCCTAGATTACCAAAACCTTGAGGTTGGGCTTGATTCCCTGCATAACCATGATAAGGTTGTTTACCAGCCGGAGGTGTGTTACTTGAAGCACTACTACCAGAATTTGGAGGAGAAAAATAACCTGACCCACCTGGAACTGGATATGGTGTATGCCCTGGAGGTCCCGAAGTTGGACCCTTAATATGATAAATGTTTTCAAAAAAAAAAAAAAAAGGAAAAAAAATTTATATAGATGTTGTATATGCATGAGATGATTTTTAAAAGTATGATCTTATAAAACGTTCCTACTTGTTTCTTAAAGTTCATATATAAATGAATTTCTCCTGAAGGTTTTCCACTGGGACGTGTGATATTAACCCACTGCTCAGTATATCCTTGTTGAAAAACCTGAAATAGAGGTATCGTGGTCTCTCCTTTATTATATAAAGGAATGAGTACATATTTTCATTTAAAGATGCATTGATAAAATTATTAATAAGAAACTTTTGAGTTACCTATTAACTCATCATTGACAACATCTTCATCAAATACTTCAAGGAAAAGTTCGTTTCGACCTTCTAAAACATCACTAGAAAACAAACCGTCACATACACAAGATAATATAAATAAATAAAATTAATTAATTAATCAATGGATCAAATATCAAATCCCAAGGAATATCGCATCAAATATACATACAACGTTAACTTTTCATTCCAAGTTGCTTCACTTCCAGCATTTTTGATAACGCGAGTTTTTTGCTTATTTTGTTTGTCCATAGACAAACTAACGTATGGGTCCGCTTTATCTATATAAAAAGTTTGTTTTTAATCGGTTTGTTGCAAAATATTGATTGATAAGATAAAACACATACCAAAAAAATCGGTATCTTTAAGTTTTTTAGCTTCAACTATTTGTTCGAAAAAAAAAAAATTAGTAACATAACGTATAGCATTACAATTAGTAGTACCAGTCGTGACAAATTCTGGAGTCGACTCGGTCAGCCATTAGACACTTTGCAGAGTCGACTCAGCCGTCGACTCAGACTCCAACGGCCGGTACTACTAATTACAAATAACAAAGTATAAAGGTTTTTTTACCAACAGTTATTTCCAGTTGACCATAAGGCATATTGATGGAATTATTTTACAACGATTAGTTCAAAAACAAAAAAGATAAATGTTAATTTATATTCGCTTAATTATGTCATACGAAATTGTACAACATTATTATAATTGTGATGTAATGCTAAGAACTATAAATGCAGATCAACTTCTAACTTCTACACACATGGCATGAACCATTTTTTAATTTTCTCGAATAATTTTAATATTGTTAAATTTGGGTGTAAATGTCGATTTCTATTAACGATGTTCATAATTCTGGAATCCTGAACTCAAAATCCATCTGCATGAGGTCGTTCTAAATTAAGCGTATTTTCTTCTTTTTTAATAAATTTACGGTACATTTCCTTTATTGGTTAATTACATTTGTGATACGAATTTATATATGGAAATCTATGATTGTCAAAGAAATCCAAAATAAGTAATATTTGAATACCTCCGATCTACACATATTAATTATAAGAAAATTCCTTCGGCTATTTCTCTTTCTTTGAGGTGATCATACTTCCAAATTTGGTTTAATTTATTTTAGGGAGTTTTCAGCCGTAGATGCGTAGTATTGATTGTCGATTGCATTATTTTCAAATTTGATTTTAACGAAAATAAAAACGAAATAAAAAGAATTTTAATAAAACAAAATTTATTCTATAAAATAATTTCAATAATATAATAAAATTTGAACAATTTATTTAATTAATCTTAAACTTATAAATCAAAATCATATAAAAATCATATTTGAAATTAAAATCATGCTAATATTTAATATATAAACAAGGGTAAAGCTCTATAATTATAATTATATATATATATATAAAAGATTATTTAACAAAGATAGAAAAAAAAAAATCTACATAAATTTAAAAGAAAAAAACATATATAAACAAGAAATGAATCTATATATAACATATGATATTTATATATAATATATATTAGTCGAAATGTTCTCGCGAATGTTCATTGTTCCGTTATTCAAGATTTTTTTGCCAATTTAGTTGTCGAGATTATAATTATTATTATTATCAACGGCGCTCCAATCATAACACAAGTAAAATAAATCCAATTGATCAATTTGATCGATTGGTGTGATTGGAGTCAGAGCGATTGGAGAAATCGAAGGGATTGATGTCGGCGTTGATAAAAAATTAAAATCTATTTCGTTTTGTGAAATGGTCAACAATTCAGGTTCAGGCGTAATCGGATAATTAATATTGTTTAATGGCTCCTGCTGTTTTTCTTGTCTTGTTGCATGTTTAGGTTTTGGTTTCCTTTTATCTTTTGATTTTTTACTAGGATTTTCATCATTGGTTGGTACGTATTGTTTCCACGCAGCCTTATCACGTTTGGGCTTATATTTATAGTCTGGAAACATAACATGGTGAAGGTCAACAATTTCTTTGCTCAAGTTTCTATAAATCTGCAATTCTTCTGGACTAAGTTCTTTCCATATCTCACCGATTATACTTGAAAATTCTCGTTCATTATAGTGTTTTAATGCTGGTGTTTTATTTTTTTTATCATGTGACATTTTACGAAAAATCATGAAGCAGTTTGGTGGTCTTTTAATGTGATCATTTGATTGGAATGAATTTTCTTTAACGTATTTTTCTGCGGTGGTTTGAGGAGGAAACATATCCAAAAGAACCTTGACCTGGCTTTTTGTGTACATTGGATGTGGAAAACCTTCACAATCACTAATGTTAGGAGAAGATTGTGTAGATGATACCGAATTTATTGGAGAAGGTGGCAATAAATACATGTTTTTTCTTGGCAATATATATATCTTTCTCTTTGAAATGGCTATTGAGCAAATTATGATTTTTAATAAAGCACTAGAATGTTTTATAATTTGTTCTTTGATATTTCTTTTAATTCTCTCGTAAATGTGCCTTTATTTATAATTTTTTTTGATGATGAACACAGTTTGTGTGATGTAGTACAAAAATCACATATTTGTATTAGTTTAAAGGAATTGTTTCTCCGTCCACTAATAAAATACAGATGCTTATTTGCTAGTCATTGTATGTTTGCAATGCGTGTGCGTAAAGGAATGTGGAACGCTTCCAAAGGTTCCAAAGGTTCCAAAGATTCTAGTGACAACGCCAAAAAAGAATAAAATTTTGAATCACGCGTTAATAACTCCTTTTAAAATTTTAAAATGAAAGCATATGGAAACATTTGTATTTGCTGCTAAAATTGAAAGTGAATAGTCCTGTTTTCATGAGCCGAGGTTGTTCGAAAATAAATCCCCCTTACTTAAATTATGTTAATTTTTTTATAAAAAAAAAATGTATATACTACATATTTTTGGATGACACAAAAGGTTTTAACGATGTTTTTAACAAACTTCTCAAAATATCATTAAGAAAATTATGTATACCATCAAAATTTCGCATTTTTATCTCGTACCAAGCTTTTATTATGAAAATTTTTCTTCAACGTTTTGAATGTTTTGCATAATTTATGATGCAAAAATTATCCTAAGGATCGCCACACAAATCCTTTTTTGTTATTTATTGAGCACAATACATACTTTTTCTTTACATTGTTGAATCCAAATTTTTTTTTATGAACTTTGGCGCAGTAATATTTTTATTTTATTTTTTTTTGGTTGTTTCTGAAGTTCGTTTTGCATTGTAAATCAATCTATTTTAAAATTCATTAAATTTTTACCAAAATAAAATTTGTTTATGAAAAAATCCTTCGCGGCTTTCTTTTTTATCTTTTTTTTTTTATGGACCATATGGTTGTCTCCTGGTCTACTTTTGGAAATTGGGTTGAAACATCAGAATTCCGACTTACTGATAGGAATTTAAACAATCAAAGGTTTTGTGGTAAAATGCAGGTGACACGATGCAGATCAATGAATGAAAAATAGATTTTTGTGTAAATATCCATTGTTTTTTTACCCAATGAATAAAATCGTACCCTTAGAAAATCCGAATCGATGCTCTTTTTTGAAAGTTACCTTGGGTATATCCTCCTGCACATTTATCATGTGAAAAAATGTAATATTCTTTTTGGCGGAATCTAACTAAATATATTTTATTAATTCGCGAATTTTTTCTAATGTGAACGCCAACATTTATTATTTTAAATGGAAGAATTATATTTACTGTATGTATATAAATTTTTTTTTTTCAGGGTAGTTGTTAATGTTACATTTACATTACTTATTATATCTTTTGCATATAACAAGACGCAAAAAAAGATGTCCTTTTTGGCGTAAAAGTTTACGCGTGTCGGGTTTTCAACTCCGTTTTTTTTTGCTGTAAGCATGAACTTGTGAACTTGTCACAGCCACAGCACACACATAATTCTTTTTCGATGGAATGATGGGCGCTATGTGGGTCTCAGTTTAAAATAATGACATCTTAATAAGAGATGCGATCTAGGATAAATAGGGTTTTGCGATCCTATCTAATTGGTTCCAAGAAAATTATTTATTAGGTGTCATTCACTTTCAGACATGACTTTATTTAGAAGAACTGAGTTATATACAATGCATTAACTATTATTATTTTTTTAAATTTAAAATAGAGTACTTCACATTATAACTATTTACGTGAATATAATGAGAATAAACCCGAAAAAATTTTTCTCCTTCGCGTTATATTTGGAATCATCGCATGATTTTTTTTTACCTTTTGAACCTTACCATTTCATCTATAGTAGCGTGCATTTGAACCTAAGGATACATGAAACAGGTAGATCCAAACTTTACGTATTGTTGGCAATACTCAAAAAATGAAGAACAAGGGATGAATTTTATTTACTCTTGCATAGGTTTAACTTTATGACTTTGTGAATTTTATACAATGAAACAATCTATTGAATATATTGTGATTTCCTAGTTTTTTTTTCCTTCGACGCGTTTATCAATTGATCAGGTACACAACAAATCATGAGACTTGTCACTCACATCATCTACATTAGCCCAACCCTTTTTTATCCATGCTGCAAAGGTAAAAAATGCTTGACAATCTTTTATAATTATATAAATGAGTGGTAAAAATGGCAAGAAAATGAATCAGCGGTCATTAATCATGCAATTAAACTTCTTTGAAAATAACTTTTAACTAATTTAGGATCAAAGATGTACACATTCTCATTTATTTGAAATTGCATTTGTACTTTTCTGCCTATTCAAACGTTGGTTGTTACATATTTTAAACATCAAAGATGTTCGCGTACGAGATGCATCTTATTCATGACGGAGCTCAGATTCCATAAGAACATTTACAGATAATCGATTATTTACAACTTCAATTATCACCGCAAAGTTAACGAAAAATTCATACTATTGTAAATTTTTTTTTTTTAAAGGATTTTATCGTAAAAATTACTTGTACAAAGTGTTCTTTTTTTTTTTAAAAAAAAAAAAATAAAATAAAAAAATAGAGGATGAGGCCATGTAATAAAATTATTTTTTATATTTTATTGTAACGAGATAATCAATGTATTAAGATTTTCCAGTTTTTTTTTTAAAAAAAAAAAATACCTTCCGAAAGATAAATCGAGATTGTTTGAGGACGTTTTATGATTGGTTTGCGAGTGTTAGTCATTCAGTTAATGACGTTCATGTGATCCATGTGAATGATTGACAAAGGCATACACGATCCAGTAACTGTTTATAGGTCGTCATTTTACTTTACCCTTGTCATTTGGGCATTGTCATTTTTTTATTTGTTTTTTCCTGTTCAAAGATTAAATTCAAGTTGTTAAAATCGTACGGATTTGGAAATCTAAAACTTTTAATTAAATCATTTGATCCATTTTCTCCCTTAAATAATAAAATAAAATCTTTTTAAGTATAATAAGGTAAACCTTTACCTTATAAAGAAAGAGATTTTAAGTATGCTGGATCAAAAGATACACGGGATTTACTAACTTTATAATTTGATCATTTGGAGTTTTCATTCCGAAAGAGAGATATCCCATGTTTCAAAACTTACGTGATTTGCGATTGAACATGTGCGCCCTCTTCTCCCTCTTCTTTATCGTTAATGATTACTTTTAATCTCCAATATTTACGCACTTTTTCTCTTAAAAAAGATGATAACGGCGTGAATTCGGTGTCTTGACAATGACATGCAAATTTAATTTTATTAGTTTTACAAGGAAATCTTAATTATCGTAACGCAAAAAAAAAATGGATAATGATGACAAATTTTATTCGAAATTAAAAGGAACATCCCCCCTTTCAATGATTATCTAATAAACTGCTTTCATTTTATTGGGTCAGACGTTTGGTTCGAAAATAATAGGTACGATATTATTTTTTTTCTTTTTACGGCAAAGAATATCAAAAGGATGGATGCCAAAAGGCTCGTGTTACTACTTGACTTCATTAACATTTACATTTAACAAGAAAAAAAAGTTACTTTCAACCTCTTTGCAGAATGTATCCTCAAAGTGGCAATAAAATGAACTATTGTTAGTTAATCAATCGAAAGTTTGTGCGGTACATTCTTTGCATGTTCAATGAAACATCAAATTTAAAAAAAAAATTTTTTTTTTAATATGAACAATTTAAAATTTTTCCTTTTCAAAATGATTTAATCACGTTTTATTTGTAAAATCATATAATCAAATAAGGAGGGAAATCAAAAATTCGGAATTAAAGTTGCGAATCTGTGATTCCATATATGTTGCCTAGTGAGCTCCTATTATGTGCCCCACGCATATGGATACAAAGCAATGAGGATTGATCAGCGAATCATTCTACACAATGATTATCGAAGATGCATTATTTTACTTTATTTTTTTTACATATACAGCGTATTCCATATTAAAATAAAATAAAATATAATATAATGTCATAATTGGATCATAATTAATCTTTACCATAATCGAAACTAGTTTTTTTAAACGAGTATGAAATAAATTACCAGCAAATACATTCTTTTTTAGTGCACAAGGAAATTCCGGTAATATAATAATTTGCCACTTACCAGATAATGGTGCATAACTTATTACATTCATTCGTAAAAGGTATATAAATAACTGAATACTTTGCAGATTTCTTTGTAAAATCTCCAAAATACAGTTTTTATATGTTCTAAAGACTATATAAGTATCGCTATTTTCCTCCTTCACTTATATCAAAACTTGGTGAAGAGTGTTTCTCTTCATATTAATAAGTCGATCTATATATTACTTCAAACAATGACAAAGTCTCCATCGAAACGCAAATCTAGATCGGAAAAGAAATCTAGATCGGAAAAGAAACCGAGGTTACCTACCGAGGATCCAATCGTTAGTTCATTCGTTAAACGATTTGATTCCTATGCAATCCAAATATTATGTTCCGAAGAATATGCGTCCAACCCAAAATTATCGAACGAAAAGGACGGGAAACCCTTGAGACCACCCAATAGTTTTTTTCAGTTTAAAAACACGGTCAAGCTATATTCACAGGATCAAAATTTAATGGTTGGTCAAACTTGTTTATGCAACGATCGCAACATTCTGACCAAGGTTGCAGGGGAACTTTGGCATTTTTGTCTGAATCCAGATCAAAAGATCATTTTTTCGGATCTTTTTAAATTGGCGAAACTGGATCATGAGAAACGTTTCCCTGATTATAAGTATAAGCCAAAACGAACCAAGAGCGATTTTAAGTTTAGTTTAGAAAGTCACGATCCTGTGACCGAAATTAATAACGATCAACAAATTGTTTTGGATGATCAACATCAACTTTTTAGCATGACCGATATTTCAAATGAAATCACCGAACGTTATTTGGTTCCTTATGATGAAGACATCCAATTTTTTTTTTATAATAACTTAATCAATTAGAACATTGACATTCTTATAAATCGTTTATTTTCTATGCTCAATTTTTTTATATCGTCTAATTAATCAATTATATCTTTTATGTTTCTCTCGATATATGGATCTTTCGGTACTTCTCACATTTATTGAAAGGTTTAAATTAAAATTAAGTAATGACTTCTATTATTTAATTATTTTATAATTATTTCCTTTAAAAAGAATGGTGAACATTTTTTTCTCTTTTTCTAAACACATTTTATTTTATCTTATGTATCTAGCCATTATACTTTTATTTAAAAAAAAATAAGGTAGTAGTCATAATTATGCTGTTTTAAGATTTTTTTAAGATTTTTTATGATGCACACAAATTAAGATGAACGCAAAATTAAGGAATACATATAATAAAGTTTCTAAATTACGTAAGACTCAGTAAAAAAAAATAGCATATGTTTTACATATATTTAAGTTTTTAAATTTTTTTTATGATAATAATATTAAGAAAAATAAATATTATTCATATTAAGTACCAGGCATTTATTGTCATAGCTTTCATGGCTTTCGTCGGTCCAAAGAAATGATTAAATAAAGAATATTTGTTCGTTTACTTTCCAAAGAAATGATAAAAATAGAATACTTGTTTGGTTTTATCATTCATAGCTTGTGAACTACATAAATACATTTTAAAAAAGAATGATAAAAGGAGATTTTAGAATGCAACGATAAAGAGAAATGAGTTAGAAAAAAGAACAAAAATGTAGGCAATGAAATTTCAAACCATTAAGCTGTTTAATAATCGAGATAAGTAAATATTTCTTCATTTTAACTCACAATGGATGGAGAATTTTTAATAGGAATGAATGAATGTCCACCCTTGACTTCGTTGAATGTAAATGCAATTAGCTATATAAAAAAAAAAATTTTTGTGATCCTTTTATTTAATTTTTTTTTTTTTTTGGATTTTGGGATGTTCTTAAACAGATAAAGAATATATAGGGATTATCATCTAATGATAACACGGGTTTTATAAGTATAATTTGTATTTTGGATTGTACGACAAAGACTGGAAGCAATTGTAGTTAATTACTTGATAATTCGTCGTTTCAACAAACCCATTTTTTTTTAAAAAAAAAAGTGTTATTAATCTTCTTAACATTCCAATACACTCCGAATGTAACATGGCACAAAAGACTATAACCGGGTTGGAACCTTAAAGGAAAAGATCACAAACAACAGAACTTTAATAGCACCTTAATTGCAAATTTATCAGACACTTGTCTTCTGCAACTTTCCGGTAATAATTACCATATTTCATAATTCATTTGAAAAAATTTTTTTTCGTGAATTTTAACTAAAAGTTTACATTTTCTTGCGAAACCATTTAATAATGTAAGGTTATGTTGGAACAATTTGTCGTATGCAAGATACCAAAATTCTTTGTTTTGTAATGAAAAAAAGATTCGGATGGCGTTCACGGAGTTTATGATAATGATTTTTTTTTTTTTTTGAACGGGTTTAATAAATTAGTGCAAATAAAGTACTTTACGCCATATTACGATTTATTATCATTGTTATTATTATTATTATTTTAAAATTTCTTTGGCCCAGATTTTCAATGTTACGATTACGAGTAAATTTTGTGTTCAATCGAAACCCTCCTGGATTTCAACCATTCGATCATGTCGATAATCTTGTTTTGTTGCGATCTTCCGTACAATAGAAAGTAAACAACAAATGTCAAGTGACCTAAGAAAACCTTAATTGATGTTTTATGCGAAAGATTGTAATAAATAATTTTATTTATTTATTTATTTTGAGTGATATCTTTATGATTCACGCGCGTAAAATTATTCAGGTAGAATCCTCCTAAAATTTTCGGTAGACCTTTAAGCGCACATCTGCTTCGCATAATTTGCTTGTTATAGTCACATGTTGTTCTTTTTATGCAATGATTAATTATTTCCCAAGAGAAACGGAGTATTGCTTAATTTTCCTAAACAATCAACGGGAATGTGATTGTAGTATGACAGAATTACGAATTAAAGAGGTCATGGGACATACGGTATGTGGATGACCTTGTAAAGAGTCCAACAACAGTCTTTGCGCCAAAATTACTCGTTCTAAATAGAAATATAAAATAAATATCAATAATTCGACTAGTTTGTTTAAGATATATTTACATAAAGAGTGCATCTAATTATATCTTTATTATTTTATTACAATTCATTTTCAATTAAAAGATATAAAGATATAGTTCTTCTTATTGATTATCAAAAGTTTCTTCTTATTATTAATTAATTCCAGTTAAATGTCTTTTATGTTAACCTCTACTTGTAATAATATTCTTATAATTTTGAATTTAATATTTTCTATTTGTTTCATTATTATAAGGTATTTAATATTAATTATTTCAATCATATAATAATTTTTTTGAATGTTTATAATATTTTAATTAAGTATAAATTTATACATAAGTTTTTTTTTATAAATTTATATGATATTATATATGTTAATAAACTTTTATACTTTATAGAATTGTATAAATTTTATTTAATATAAGATTTATATAAGATATTAGGTAAAAGGTATATAAATTTGTATAGGTTTATACAAATATTATCACTTAAATAGATAATATCAAAATATTTAAAAAAATATAAAATATAGATATTTTAATTTAAATATCATAAAAGGATGAAATTTAGCTTATTAAATTTGTCTAATTAAGTATTTATATTAATATAATTTAATAATTGCAAAAAAATAAAAATATAATTTAATTTAATTTATTGGATTCTTATTATAAAATATATTAATTTGTAATATTTTTATATTTTTAAAATTAATAGATAATAAGATATGATAATTTAAATAATTAGATTATTATATAATAATTTATTATTATTTATTCTTAAAAAAATTATTAACTAATAGCAATTAATTTTTGATTTTACTTAGAATATATTATAAAAATATAAAAATATCAATTTTTTATTAAAATAATTAAATAATTTAATATAATTATAAAAGTAAAATTGCTTTTAAATTTAAAGGCAAAATTATTTAAGGATAAGATACTATACTAAATTATTAAAATTAGTTTTGGTTAAATAAATTAGTTTCATAGTTTTAACTATTAATAAACTAGCTTTGATACTTAATAAAATTAGTTTTAATAAGTTTAAACTATAAAATTTTAGTTTTGAACAATAACTATTTAACAATTAAGCTTTATATAATACTTTATTTATAAATTTCTAGTTAAAAATTAATATTATTATAAGAATAATTATTATTATTTTATTTTTATATTTTTTAAACTCTTTAATCAATTTTTTATTATATAAATATTTTATTATATTAATATATGAAATTTACTATATATCACCACTAGTATTCAGCAATAAAGATACCTGCCTAAACTCTTTTTAAAAAATTGTAGTTTTATTAAAAGATTTCATATGAATAATTATATTTTTAATTCAAGAAATTTAAATTAAATTAAATATAATTTTAGCAATTAAGTAAAATAATTTTATCATTAATAAAAAACTAGTTTTGTCATTTCAGTTCTGTCAATTTCATTATATTAAGAAAGGTAATTTTGTCTGATATTACTATTCAGCACTAATACTATTCAGTAAATATTCAGCTAATTCAGTCATGTGATTTAACAAAAATTCAGCTTAAGTTATAAAAATCAATAGTCATTTGTTACATTGTATATAATTTATCATTATTTTAGCACTATTATTTTTTTAGTAAAAATTTAGCTGATTTAGTCATAGTATTTGGCAAAAATTCAGCTCAAGTTACAAAAATAAATAGTTATTTATTATATTACACATGATTTAGCATTATTCAATACTAAGATCTTTTGGCAAATATTTAGTTAATTCAATCATATAATTCAGCAAAATTTTAGTTTTAATAACAAAAATCAATAATAATTTATTATACTATATATAATTTAAGCATTTATTTCAGTACTAAGATTTTTCATTATAATATTCATTAAAATTTCAGTCAAACTCAAAATTTGATAACAAATCAACTGATCTTAATAATCAAACTGATTTTTGTGAAAATTATAATATTATAATCAAATGAAAGTAATTGTCCTGAAAGAAATGATATAATTATCCCAAAGAGATAATAGAAATTATCCTAAATGAAATGATATATATATTCATCTCAAAGAAATGATAGAAATCATTTTGAATAGAATGATATATTTATCCTAAAGAAATAATAAAAATCATCTGAAAGAAATAATATAATTGTTTTAAAGAAATAATATAAATCATTCAAAAGGGACGATACAGTTGTTCCTAAAGAGATAATAGAAATTGTCTCTAAAAGAATGATATATTTATCTCTAAAGAAACAATAAAAACTATCTCTAAAGGAATAAATAATCATTCATAAAAAGACAATAGAAATTATTCTTAAAGGAATAAATAATCATTTCTAAAAGGATGATAAAAATTATCTATAAAGAAATGAACAATCATTTCTAAAAGGATGATAAAAATTATCCATAAAGAAATGAACAATCATTTCTAAAAGGATGATAAAAATCATCCATAAAGAAATAAACAATTATTTCTAAAGAAATAATAGAAATTGTCTCATAAAGAATTATATAATCATTTTTAAAGAAATGATAGAAATCGTTTCAAAAGGAATGATAAATGATGCATCATCATTTTGAAAAATAATTTTTTTATTATTTTTAAGAAATGATACATTATTGTTCTATAAGAATAATATATTTTTTTATTTTTTTAGAATGATTTCCTCATCATTTTCTTAGAATAATATTTATATGTATTATTATTTTGAAAAAATAATACTTTTCATTATTTTTAAGAAATGATTTATTATTATTCTAAAAATAATATTTTTTTATTATTTTTTCAGAATAATATATCATCATTCTAAAAGAATGATGTTTATTTTATTATTTTTTCAGAATAATATATCATCATTCTGAAAGAATAATATTTTAAATTGTTCTATTAGAA